CTGGTACAGAACCTGCTGCTCCTCTGAAGGAAGGATTGTTTTTGAAGATTCCAGGAGAACACATTTGAGTCTAACTTCCTTTAAACAGTTGCTTATAGATAATCTGAATCAATGACTGTGTAAAGAGCATAAAAGGAAAAATACTTTTAGATTTCATCCACAAAATAAAAAAATTAAACCTGATGATTTAACCCCTTAACAGGACAGGGCCTGCCGGAGGACCCAAAGTTTTATTACACACTTCTATAATCTAAGAAATGCTCAAACAGTTTGCATGGAAATCCTTGTAATTACTGAATAATAAGCCTTAATATGTAATCAGTCTGGGACTTTATAGGGAAAGCTATGGTCTAATGCAGATTAGACTAAAACCTTAGAGAGTCAGAAATGCTACAAGCACTGTGTAGCAGCTGGAATTCACTCTTTTACTTTCCATTTAAACAGCTTATTACACTGAATTATAGTCCTTTCACACTCTTCAAGATAAGGGTGCCAAAAAAAAAACATTCACCAGAGTGATGCCATAGAATAACTCATTTTGGTTCCATAAAGAACCTTCCAGGAGATGGTTCTTTAACCCCTTATTACACACTTCTATAACCTACAAATAGCCCAGCCCGTTTGCATTGAAGACCCTGCAGTTATTGAAAAATAAGCCTTAGTATGAAATAGGCCTGAGATTTTAAGGGGTTAAATAAAAATGGCATTTGAGAAACATTTTTAAAAATTTAAACTCTTAATTTCAGCCTTATTGCATCCTATTCAATATTATTCAGTAACTACATAGACTACAATCCAATCTGTTTAAATCCACTGACAGGTTCTGGTTCAGAAGAAAATAACAAAATAAAGGTCCAAATACAAACCCCATTCCAAAAAAGTTGGGGCAGTGGGTAAAATGTAAATAAAAACAGACATTAATGATCTGCAAATCCTTTTGACCTGTATTCAGTTGAAAACAGTACAAAGACAAAATATTAAAAGTTCCAGCTAACTAACTTTTGCTTTTTTGTAAATATACCTTGATTGTAAATTTGATGCCTGCAACATGTTCCAAAAAAGTTTGGGATAGGAGCCTCATCTAAATGGCAGCATATGTTGCTCCAAAATGTGGATGTGTACCCTTCAGCATTAATGATGCTTTTACAGATATGCAGGGCACTCATGTTATTGGAATTAGCACAACCCTGTACCATGACAACCACTGGCTTATGAATTCTGCACTGGTAACAGTCTGGATGGTTCTATTCTTCTTTGGCCCGGGGGAACACGTCATCCATTATGTCCAAAAACAATTTAAAAGTTGGACTCATCAGACAGCAAAAATGTGTCCACTGTGCATCAGTTCATCTCAGATGAGCTTTAGCCCAGAGAAGTTGGCAGTGTTTCTGGATGCTGTTGATATATAGATTCTGCTTTTCCTGAATTATTCCAAAGCCCATGTTATTTACTGCTGTGGTTATCTTGCAGTGGTATCTGTGCCCATTCTGGATCCCTATAAAACCCTTTCAGTAGATGGTTCTAAATAGAGAACCATTTTTGTAACTGAGAAATGTGAGGGTGAAGAACCTCCACATAATGTAAAAATTCTAAAAAAATTCTAGAAACTTTAAACGAGATTGAAAAAAACTTTTACATTATGTGATGGCTCTAAACCTAAACCTTTAAAAGGCACTTCACATACACACATTTAATTTACAAACCAGGTTCTTAATTTACATTCTGGTGTTTGCAGTCGTCCTTAGGATGTTAAGAATAGGAGGAAGCATTCTAGAGTCTTACATAATCAAACATCAGTATGGCACACCAACCAAATGCTTGTGTTTGCTCATGATTGTTCATATTTGTCCTGTGGGTGTACTCTGGCCTTTAGGGAACCAAAAGTGGTTCTATATAGGACCATAAACACTCAAAGAACCATTTACATGTATAAAGGTTTCTTTCCATGGTGAAATTGTTCTTCAGATTGATGGAGAATGAGTTGTATATGCGTCCATATAAAAACTTTTTGAAAAGAGTTCTATATATAACCAAAATGAGTTCTTCTATTGTTATGATGTCAAGCTTATAACAATAGAAGAACCCTTTTTGGTGCTTTATAGAACTCTTTTTACTAAGAGTGCAATATGACATTATATAAAGGTTCTTTAAACTTTTGAAAGGATCTTCATACTTAAAGTTTTCCCAACATGGTTTATTGGGGAACCAAAAGTGGTTCTTTTATGGCATTACTCCAAGATCAGTGTGCTAGCTAGCTGAAGTTTTGATATCAATCTTATGGTGCAGCTAGTAACTGATGCACCGCCTCCTTTTTCATCTAATTTGAACCTCCACATAATGTAAAGGTTTTAGGAAGAAGCCTTAAATCAGTAAAGAATGTTTAGATTGTGTGAAGGCTCTTTAAAACCTTTACAGGTTCTTCAAATGCACACATTTCATTTACAAACAAGTTTATTTAGGGAACTAAAAGTGGTTCTTCGATGACATTGCTCATTAACACTTTGTGGCACTTTTTAAGCAGTGTATCTTGAATTGTGGCCACTCAAAGAACTATTTGAATACACAAATGATTCCTTACATGGTCAAATGGTTCTACTCTATGATGAAAACCCTATTATACATATAGTTCTTAAACTAACCTCAGCAACTACGACTGTCACTGAAGCCCTGACTTCTTTTGATCTGACTGACCAGAACAGAAAAGCACTCATAATATATGATACTGACCACTTTAAGCAGAACTTTTTACACTCAGAATGTCTGGAGCTCCACACAGAACACTGCAGCACACAGTGAATAAAATGTTAAGCGCAAATGTGCAAAAACAGAACAAAACACGGCTCTCCACCTGAACACAACAGAATCGCCTCTGTCCTCAAAAACGCATACAGTGTCACTCTAGGGTTAGGGTTAGGATCAGAATCAGGGTCAAGGGAAGGTTTAGGATTTGGATTTAGGTGAAGGATTGGATTAGAGTACGTGTTTAGAGAAATGTGAATTAAATTGTTTTTTTTAATAAGCATCTAGAGAGCATCTACTCTCCAAATAAAGTGTTAGTGGAGTTCTTTCTGTTTAAACCCCAACCTCACAATAAAGTCTTTTTAAGTCTTCCCTCTAAGGCAGTCAGAGAAGATCAGGGTGTCAGTTTCCTTCTTAGTTGTGAGATCAGACCATGCCTTCAACATGGTGGTGGTAGTATGAGGGAAGACTGATTGAGGGAGGGGGGAGAACTCTGAAAACTTGGGCTGGAGTTCTGGGCAGCGTCTGCCTGTGGCTACAAGGCCAGACCCCCTCATAGCTGTAGTAGGACTGAAGTAGGACTGAAGAACAGGGAGGAGATGGGGTGGCGGTGGGGAAGAAGTTTCAGTTATAACACAGCTACAAAAATTGAGATCATTTTTAAAGGGCAGATTTTGCCTTCTTGTTAACTGTTAAATCCCTCATTGTTAATTTCTCCACAAATTTCTCAGTCGACCAGGTAACTTTATCCTAAAAGTCAAGCCAGTGGTACGAAAGGCCTAATGTACATTCCTACTGGACAGTCCTCATTTACGTTTATCATAAAACAGCTAATGCTTTGTGCATATTTATCTTCAGCACTCAGCTTCATGTTCTTCAAAGTATCTTCCTTGGTGTGAAGAGCAGGTTTATTAATAATTATTTGATCTAATTGATCTAAACTATTGTTAAAAGCTCATATTAAAACTCTTTTGGTCTAAATGTGGTTCAAACAGCTGAAAGGTTTGAGTGCTGATGGGTGCTGACATCACAAGGGGATAAAGCGGGTGTGTCCTTTGGCTTTATAATAAAAGTAGCACTGGCAGTAACATTGGCACAAATATTTACCCATGATATTGTTTTTCTCTGAATAAACCCGATTAGGCTTTAATAAGGTCAGTTACCGCAAAGAGGATAAAGAAACATGATTATTGGTATTAAAACATTGTAAAATGTGTCCGACTTTGCTCGTCGGTGAGAGTCAGTGGGAGATTCTCTCAGACGGGCAGATGGGACATGGTGCTCTGTTTGCTCTGAAGCTCATCTCTTTGCCCTTTGGACGCCGCGCCCTGGCTGCGCGACTGGGTTGGTAAACAGGCTTTACTCGGGCAGCGTTGAGCTCTGATATTCCTGCTGCTCCTCCTGCATCTCTCTCTCCACCACAGCGCTGATAAGAGCACCAGACCAGGATCAGTATTGAAATGACTCTCCTCTTACCCAGCATGCAACTGTCTCTTATCCAGCCGTGTCGTTACACTGTGCAAACAGGCCGAACTCCTGCATGAACCTCCTGCTGGTTCTATCTCTGTTTCCCTCCTTCCATCTCTGTTTCTCTTCTCATTTGAATTAAGGCCATGCAGAAAGCATGATATCTAGGAATAGCTCAGCTAAAAATGAATCCTGCACAAGCAGCAGATCCACAGCAAAGCTTTTATTACAAATTACTTTGAAAATATACAGTTATTAGGTTTCAGCATTTGAATTAAAATTATATACACAATATTTCCGCCCATTGAATGAGTAGAGCAAAAGTATTATTAACAATACAAACAAACAAAAATAGCCAAAATGACAAACAATAAACAGTCATAGCGACACTTTTTTTCCTTCTTTTGAAGTTTTCTCTTAATAGTTTTCAACTTTTTCACAGAATGCGCAGCTTATTGCAGTTCTTTTTCATGGTTAAGCACAAGTGTTCTCAGGTTGGTGTTCTCCTCTGTAGTGGGCCAGGCGGTTGTACAGTTGGACATTAAAGCGATAGTTCAGTGAGTGACAAAATTTTCACAGTTCTTCCCCTTAATGTAAATGCTGGAGATTGCTTGACAGCTCCATTTGAGCCATGAAGCTGAAGTTGGCTTCTTACTTGTTAGCTTCCTTTTCAAATTTCCTATTCCACCACAATGAGTGCGTATACATGCACTCAATAATCCGATCATAATCAGATTCCTGCAGTTATTCAAATGGTCAGGTAAACACCATACTCCAATCTAGAAATCTGAATAAGAAATCTGATAAAGAGAGCTGGATTTTAGCTCAGTGGTCAGATTTCTCAGTGCATGTAAACTCTTACTCTGATTTCTTTCGGATTTCTCAGTCTGAGCATGCGCAAGAACAGACGGTGGATATCGTGAGACGCAGCAGAACAGTGTTGGAGAGGCACTGAAACCAAACACGAAATAAAGGATTTAAATATTCTTTATCTTCTAGATGATGTATGTTCATATTTTCAGGTAAGGTGGCGTGATGTTTAATAAAAAACAAAGCCACGGGATGAAGTTTGAGTGTTATGTTTATGTCGCGTCTTCTTCTGTGAGTTTATTGGCTCGTTGTGAAGTAGAAACCTGATTACTGCCAGAATCATGTGGACCTGGAGTTTCCCCATTATCTGACTATTCAAGCGCATGTAAACGCGTTGATCGGATTACTGACAAAATCTGATTTTCTGCAGTTATCGGATTATTAAGTGCATGCATACACACTCAATGTGACTGCTGTGCCATTTAAGGTAGAATGGAAATTTTAAAAAAGAAGCTGGCAAATAGGAAGTCAACTTCACTAACATGTCTCAAGCGAGTCTGTGATGATTTAGGCATGCAGTTAGCACCACGATAATTGGTGGGGTATTCCATTACTTGTTAGCTACATTAGCCACATAGCTCCAGTGCTAAAACTGAAGAAGCAACCTTTAGACACCAAACATGTTTTGGCTGATCCAGTTAATTTAAAGAAAAGGGGGAAACTAGAGGAATTTTCCAGAACTATCGCTTTAAAACTTGCTCTTCTCTCAGTACTCCTCTTTGATAGTCATTGGCATTGAGGACGACACGAGGCCGCCGCTGCTGCTGGTTACCATAGCTGCGTTGCTGGGGATGGCTGAGCTGGGGGGGGTGGGGGTGGTGGTGGACGCTGCCTGAGGCTGCTGGAGCTTCTTTTTATTGATCTTCCTCTCTTTGGCTCTTCGGTTCTGAAACCAAATCTTCACCTGAACCCGAAAAACAAAACGATAAAATGGTCAGAAACTGGAGCACAGATGCAATAAAACACAGACAGAATATATATAGCAAAATTCAACAGTATTCACTGTATATGGGCAACGGCTTATGAAAGATTAATGCAGTGGTGCTTGAAAGTTTGTGAACCCTTTAGAATTTTCTCAATTTCTGCATAAATTTGACCTAAAACTTCATTAGATTTTTACCTAATCCTAATAGTAGATAACGAGAACCAAATTAAACAAATGAAACAAAAATATTAGACTTGATCATTTATTTATTGAGAAAAATGACCCAATATTACAGATCTGTGAGTGGTAAAAGTATGTGAACCTTTAGGATTAGCAGGTAATTTGAAGGTGAAATGATTGATGTTCAGAGAGAAGGCCAAATTATTTCTGGAAACTAAGAAATGTACATCTATAATAAGTACACATATACATCTTTAGCTCATTTTTAATCAATGGAATAATCATGGTTGTATTTAAATTCTGTAAGTTTTACAATAAAAGACTTTTTTACATTAAGGTGTCAAAAAGGGTTCTTTAAGCGATGCTGTAAGAGAACCCATTCTGTTTCTTTGGAGAACCTTTTTTCTTAAATGAGATGTGTGAGTATGAAGAAAGTATTTTAAAGTTTAAAGAACATCCACATATTATAGATGTAATAAAGGGTAATAAAAACAACACAGGTGCTGTTTATCACCCACAGTTGTGCCACTACTGTTGTGATTGTTTATCCTTCAAAAGATTTTGGTAACACTGAGCTAAACTGCCAGCCTGTGAGCAGTAGTGACACCAGGACGGCTGTTTGGGATGAGCATGACAAATTTGCGGGTGGGTCAAACTTTGGATTTCAGTCCTGTAGCCAGCTGCTACAACAAAACAGTAATTTAACCTAATCGACATCTGCTGTGCATTGACCAAAAATTTCAGCTTGCTTTGAGCAACTTGGCTTGCAGTTCTTTTTTTTTTTTGTTTTTAAATCTGTTCAGATCGAATGAGTCACATTCAAAAGTGGGTAATTGTTAGTAGTTATTGTATGTCTTTTGAATAATGTTATGTTTTCAGTTTTTATGCGGTGGGTGAAGGTCTTATTTTCTTTGATGAGCTTCTGTCTAGCAAGTACCTCATCATAAGGGTTATTGGTTAAACTAGTGTTTTGACTGGCCAACATCTAAAATTTTAATTGAGTCACATATTTTGTAAATTCATATTTATTTGTGCTTTTGGCTTATTTCTATCCCAGAATCATATCACCACCACTGCTTGTGCGTCCTTTTACTGACTAATTGTTGAGAGAACGTTCATTTGATCCTTAAGAGCCTCATTGACACACAGGTTAGTTCTAAGATCCATTGCTATGGAAAAATTTCACTTTACAAAAGATTACTTATTTATTTTTTGTGTTGGGTCCTTCTACTACCACATCGACCTGCTGGATTCATTAGTACTTGTTTCAGAACCTCATCATTTACAAACAAAGCCCTGTGAAGAACTTTTAAGTTGGTAAAGAACCTCTATAATAGTAATAATAATAATCATTATTTATATCGCACTTTTCATGCCGGTGGCAGCTCAAAGTGCTTCACAGACAGGTGATGATGCTTAAGAGTAATTCAAGAAATTATCAGTAGTAATTTAAATTCATATTTACAGCATTTGGCAGATGCTTTTATCCAGAGCGACATACAAATGGAGCATTTCTTGTACACAGGTATGCAAAGGTAGTGTTAGGAGTCTTGCCCAAGGACTCTTATTGGTATAGTGAAGGAAGTTGACCCAGGCGGGGCATTAAACCCTAGTCTACGGCATAGAAGGCAGAGGTGTTACCCACTACACTACACCACTACTCCACCAACCACTACACTACACCACACCAACCACATATAAAAAATACATTATGTGAACGTTATTTTGACCTTTTAAAGGTTCTTCACATGCATCTCATTTACAGAAATGTTTTTTTTCCAAACCAAAAGTGGTTCTTCTCTGGCATCACTCCAAAGAACCGTTTTAATTCATTGTCAAGTTGTGTTTGGAAAGGGTTAAAATCTTGAAACAACCAAAAGAGAGCATGCTCCAATCAGGATTGTTTTCTCTGTGGTATCTAGGCTGATACAGTCTAGTCAGCTCTGTCATTGGTTAGGACTTCAGGAGCCAAACTGAAGGCCTTACATGTCAGTTTAACTGTCAACATAATTAGGAAGTGATGAAGGAATCAACCAATCATGTTTTGATTAACAATTTCAAGAGAAAAAACATCAGTTTAGTTCGTCTGGAAGTTCTACGTAAGTCAAATAAACAAACAAGTCTTGGCTGATCGATTACATTCGGTGGGGGGGGGGTAAATTACATTTTTGGGACAATTGCTTTAATCTGATAGGAAGCCCAAAACTGACCTGTCTCTCTGAAAGGCTGAGCGCTGTGGCCAGTTCTGCTTTCCTCCTGATGGTGATGTATTTGCTGTAGTGGAACTCCTTCTCCAGCTCCAGACGCTGATGGTCCGTGTAGACCACCCGGTACTTATCTTTGGTTCTGGTCTTTCCACCTGACAAGAGAACAACAAAGAACAAAAACAAAATTCAGAATCAGAGTCTTTATTCACCAAGTACAGACATCAACATGAAAACCAAAACAATAAACAATATAATTCTACATATAAATACAAACAGTATACAGTGAAGTACAGCAGCATTATAAATCATTACTATAAACAGATGAGCTTTGAACGGTTATTGAGTTAATGTTAGACAGTTTAGGGTTAATGACAGATCATTAGGTTGAATGTGAGAGTTTTGGTTTAGTGTGAGACTTTAGAATTAGGTCAAATGTAAGATTATTTAGGTTTAATGTGAGATAGTTTAGGTTAAGGTTTAATGTGAGATAGTTTAGGTTAAGGTTTAAAGTGAGACAGTTTAGGTTAAGGTTTAAAGTGAGACAGTTTAGGTTAAGGTTTAATGTGAGATAGTTTAGGTTAAGGTTTAATGTGAGATAGTTTAGGTTAAGGTTTAATGTGAGATAGTTTAGGTTAAGGTTTAATGTGAGATAGTTTAGGTTAAGGTTTAATGTGAGATAGTTTCATACGTGAGGCAGTTTAGGTTTAATGTTAAGTGGTTTAGTTTTATGGATTCATTGATGGATTTGGTTGTATTTTAATTCATTTAGATTTAGGCTTGAGAAGTGAAGAGTGTCTCATCGTTTGCTATTTAAAAGCGTATTTTGACTGTATGGAAAGTGTGTAGTGTTCAGATGAGGTTCTCTGTTTTGGGAAAATAAATAATACACAGTGAACATATTGTGCCACGTCTTTGCTCCATTTATCAGAGCCGTAATTAAAAGCACACACATAAAGCAGTGGGGCAGCATGTCCTGAGCCTTTTTTGGATTGGCTCCGTATATCAAACTCCATTTAGCCTGTCAGCAGCAGAGATGAAGCTTAAGTGCTCCAGCAGGAGCTGGGTTAAATATTAAAGCGTATGTCAGGAGGAGGAGAGCGCCGGCCGCAGGGAGGAACTGTGGGTCATTAGGCTGTTCGCCTGTGAGCCTGAGAAACACTCATTACACCTCTTAATCTCTCTAGTTAACATTCATTCAGCCAGGCGCCTGCTGTGATGAGCTATCTGCGCTAATTTAACTGTTTGCGTAGAAGAGCTCCTCCTAAAGCTGCAGTATGGCTTCAGAGACGTGCGCCCTGATCACTTTAAACCTCTCAGTTACAGCAATGTGATGTGGCTTTAATGCTTAGAACTCTAAAAGCATTATTATTTTATATCTGTACATTCAATTCACATAACTATGATTATATATGATATATGATATAATTATATAATTACACTGTTATTACACAGTAACAGACTACTACACTAACATCTGATTTCCATTCTGAATGGACAGGCCTGAGCATGCACTTCTGACTTGCTTGTTGTTTTTTAAAAACAAACTGGCCACATAATAGCAAAGGTGTTTTTTTTTTCTGCAAAGCTAGACACGTTAACTTTTCATCACATTCAAATCATAATAAAATATCTCCTCATCTGCTTAAAATGATAAATTTGGTATGAACTGAACATTTACAACCTACACTTTCCACACAGTTTCCCCACTTATTTCAGAACTGTGAGCCAGAAATAATTCAAAAGAATGTAGGAAGAGGCATTTCAAGGCATGAACACCATGAAGGCAATATTAGGGCTAATTCAGTAAAAAGCATACTTTTAATTAACCTCTTAAATGGCCAGGGTCCACTGGTGGACCCAAAGTTTAATTACATCCTTCAGTACCACTTTAGAATAAGATTACCCTTATAAAGCATGATTTAATATTAGTTTGTTAATGGTTATTAGTTAGGTCATAAACACTTTAAATACCATTAATAAGCAGTCATAACACATTAATAAATGTGATGGAGAAGACAAAATAACTTCAGTAAACATTAAAATCCAAACCTTAACAGTATAAATGAATCTGAGCAAACAAGTCACTGTTGCCCTTTTTATTTATGTGTTTTAACTGCTCATTAATGATTTTAAGGACTTTATCACCTAATTAATAATCACTAATAAACTAATTTTCAACCATTCATGAACACTTTATCAGGGTAATCTTGTTTTAAAGTGGTACCCACACTATACCTTAAGAATAGCTTAGCCAGTTTGCATTGAAATCCCTGAACAATAAGCCATAGTATGTAATCAGCCTGGGACATTAAGGGGTTAAGGTAGTTTCAGAGTTTTGTTGACTTTCAGTGCCACTATTTTATTCCTCTTTTTCCTCGTTATGATGTAGAATGTTGTCCACTGCACTGTGATGATCTGTTTACTGTTTGTGTTGATACCAGATTATCAGGTGGTTTATTTTTCTCGGTCATTGGCTCTGAGGTCACGGACGACAGAGATGTTGAGATGTTTCAGTTTCAAACTAATGTGACGTGATTGAGAAGTGTGGATATGATAAAGCAGAACGGCCCTCAGAGCGGAGTTAATCTGTAACACCGACCATAAAATTCCCGTCTGGGACAACAAGATAATGGAGCTTAAATCTGGGTTAGAAACGACCCGTCTGAACCGACCGAGCCCATTAAGAATGGTCATTTAGGACTGCAATGCCAAACAGTCCTAAATCACTCTGACCGCCTTTATTACAAAAATCAACACTCCACACACACTTAAACTCCTTCATGAGAATTAATGTTAATCAAGCCATCGTTCATCAACGTCACACCTGAGAAGAACCAAAAAACAGCATAATCTGCTCTGCTTTTCTATCACTATATCACTTTATAATCCTCCGATCTGACACTGACTGAATAGAAACATTCAATTCAGCTTCAAATGTGTAAATATTGCATGTTAACAAACTCATACTGTAAATATTAATGGGTCTACATAACAGCTCCTGACCGTGTTCTCCTCATTAGTGGATGTTTATGTGATTGCTGGGTTTCCAATACTACTCAGATGTTCGGAGTCAGTTGTCATATTCATAATTTCTGTTATTTTAAGTACAGTTATAAATTATGTAATGTAGATTTGAAAATTATAACCTAAAAACAAAAACTATTCTTGATCTAGTATTTTGGGATCAACAAGAAATTATGAAATGATAAATAATATAATGTAATTCTCTATTTACAGTCATTTGTGACAGGTCTTCTGCCTTTGATCACTACTTTTTAAAGGCAATATTAATTTTATTACATTTTCTCCTTAAAGAAATATCATATATAAAGTGTCTAAAAACATACATTCACAAGAAAATAAAAACAGAAACAGGCAGATGGAACCCAAACCATCCAGCCTAGAGAACACCTCCTCAGGGAAGAGCTGTTCGAGTGAACAAGAGGGTTTAAAATGTGTTTTAAAGGATGAAATCAAAGTTAGATCTTACAGACTTTACAGGTGTTGCAGAGTTTTAGAGCTCTTACACTGAAAGCTCTGCTACTGACTGGGGACAATTTGAAACAGGCCACCATAAACAAACCACACCACAGAACCTACAGTACTGTGCAAAACAGTAACCTCCCTAATTGATTTAAATTAGATGTACAATAATCCACTTGCATAAGAAAGGGGTGAAAAAACAAGAGTTTCCCAAACTGGAATGATTGAAAAAAATCATTCAAAGCTACAGAGAAAATGAGACTCCTAACAACCACCTGGAAGACCTGGTAGACACCAAATCTGCCCCCATCAGATAAACAGCACTTAAAGCTTCCATCTTTGAGAGAGAGAGGAGAAAATCAAGCTGCTTCACATCTGAAAACATCCACAGGTGTTTCTGTCCATCCTTCCACTGTGAGAAGACGACTCAGCGCTGTGGGTCTGAAAGGATGTGTAGCTGTTCAAGAAGAACCTCACTGAGAAAAGGAGACGGACACATCAAACAAAGAAGCTGAACGATGGACTGACCACCCCAGAGTCCAGACCTCAACACCACTGAATGTGTTTGATTACTTCAGAAAATGATCGACCAGCTTCTAAGACTTGGAGGTGTGTCTGCAGATTCTTTGAGGAACTGAATGTGAGTCTCCTGAAAAGAACTGCTGCCATCTGCAGAGTCTTCTGTAATTCTGGACAATTAGAGCAGCCTGTCCAACAGTTAGTTCCAATGAGATTGGCTGAGAAGTGTTCTAGTCATGCTGTTATTTGTGATAACAACACTATCTTTTTGCTGACCACTGGTTGCCAAGTCATGACTGGCTCTATGCTGCAGCTAAACATTACAAAATTTCTACTTCTAATTTCTTCTTCTAATTTCTACTTTATTATATACAATAACAATACATCAAACTCTGAACCTGTCATTGAGCTTTTCACCTAAACCAACCGAAATCAGCCAGAAACCAATATAATACAATTCAATGAACAAGATGTGCTGTGAAACGCTTTACAGACTCACCAGAACAAAACCCCATTCAGCTTCATCTGGAAAACACTGAAAAAACTCAAGCTCAACCTGATATTGACACAGTTTTATGGCTCTTTCTGCAATAATGCAGTAAAGTTGGTTTTGTGTTGGACATTTTGCTTAATATTCAACTTTCTCTTCTCAAATTCTCATGAAATAAATGTCCGAAAATGACCAAGCCTACATTTTCCCACTTCTGAAAGACAGTAAACAAACTACATGTAAATATATTTAAAAAATGTCTGACGTTAAATTTCACTGAGCATAGTGTAAATGCAGATAAATGATGCTTTAGTCATTATGCGACCGTCTTCCTTAAAGAAAGCCACACCTCTTTGCCTTACTTTGTTCTTTATTCTGCAGAACTGCTGCAGAAAACTGAAGGTGTGTTTTGGTGATGATGTACAGCTCAGTTATTGTTATACTATCATTTACCATGACGCACAACCTCCATGCTATATACTTAAATTTGCTGACATAAAAAAATCATGCAAACTTACTGCCTCAAAAAAAGTCAGGTTACTTAACGGGTTCAAGCTTAAATAACTTTATATTTTAATTACTTTCTCATTTACATTCTCATCAGTGATCCACACTTCTGCAGCAAGTAAACTCAAAGCCCAGTCATTATAAATGGCTTCCACAGAGCTGCAGTGCTCTACTCTTACGAGTTCTGCTTGCTCTTGAATTAGTCGGGTTATCTTGAATCAATGACCTTTCTTGCGTAAATGGACATTTCATACAGTAATAAATAAATGGCTTAGTTTAGACTAGACTATCAGTCATTTCTGAAGACTCTAATAGCTTAAAGTATGTTTACTGTTCTGTTAGCATTTATGGCTCCAGACTGAACTGATAAACCTGCACACAAAGCACCATCATGGTGAGAACAACAACATGTAAAATACAAACTTCACTTTCAACATGACAGCACACTCCGACACAAAAATAACATTTTACAAAAAGAATTACATTCATAAATTAGAAAAATAAGAGTTTATTAAGCATTTTCCAGAGAATGTATGTCTTGTAGATTATAATCTTCTGCACAGCCTTTTCAGTGTTCCTTATTATATTCTGGTTAAGCCAATAGCTGGTAACTAATTAATCAAGCCAACTTCTAATTACCTGTCTACTCATTACTACTTCATTAAGGTTTATAATGCTGTAACTGCGATATATTAAGCTGTTTTCCAGAGGTCCTCTAATGCTCTTATCAAGCCTTATTGAGACTAAAAATATAATTTGTTTGTAGTTATAGTTTTGATTTTTTTGTTCATATTGCATTACATATGATATATATCATGAATGTGCATGCATCAATAATTTTAGCTTGTAATCAACCTGTGCCTTTTGACTTTTAGAAGCAAACAATGGTCAGATTAAAGATATAAAAATATTTCTGTGTTTCTTCTGCTTGATCTTAATGACTGTAGAGAATAAAATGTGTCTATTGAATGGATACTTTAGCCATTAGCCAATCAGAGTTCAGCTTTTATACAGTAGACGTGTTGATGTTGACGTACAGATACTGATGTAATGTTGATGTTGATGTGTAGATTGTGTAGATACTGATGTGTTGGTGTTGGTGCTGTTTTAGTGGCAAATTTACAATATAGTGATGATTATATACCAAATATCAAAATATGGCAAATAAACTATCACAAGCTTGTTTTATATGAAAAGCACACAGTTTTACTGTTTAACAGAAACCAACAAAACTGGAGTTCAAAAATAATACTGGGAAGCTTTTTGGGCAAAAAACTCAAAGATCTTTGATCCAAATTTGATCCAAATTTTTACGTTTACCTCAGAAGCTAATAAATATACAAGCAGTAGTATGTGTTACTAGATTTGTATTAGTAATTTTAACAAATAAGTAAACAGAAAAGTATGATTATTATGTTTTACAGTGCAGCGTTCTAAGGCTTGAATATGTACAGATCAACTTTAAGTGCATTTTGTTTTTGTTGTTGTTGTCATCACTTGGTAGCCAATCAGAGGGGCTAAACATCGTCATCTAACAGATACAATCAAAGTCCTGAAAATGTGACGGCACGCATTCGATTCCAGCACTGACTAAAACTTTGAAACTTTTGAAAACAGACTTTTTTTAAGAAAAAAAAAAATCATTTTCTTTAAGATGGGTGCTGAAATACTATAAATGACTTCTGGAGGGTGATGCAGAGGACAGCTGAGAAATGTGAGTAGTGTGATACGGCTCGTATCACTGATAAGAATATAAACTGAAAACTCCACCGACAGAGCTGAGAAACATGATCCCAGATCAGTACATACAGAAAACAGCCTACACTGACTTTTATAAGCTATTAAAGTGGTGAATTGCTCAGATTATTTGTTTAAATTGTTTAAATTGTTTTGTTCTGTATGTTTTGTTGATTTTTCATTAAAAATGTGAAAAAAATATGGATTACTAGTTTTTAGGCTTTTATGCTGTTGCATATTATCTCCATCTTAAACACTAAACATTTGTATTACTTACTGATGTTACTGTTAAGCTGAGTTTGTCCTAAATCATTGGGTATAAATCATATTATTACAGTGTACCCAATCACTGAATTACAGTCAAAAATATAAAGGAATGACCAGTCAATCACTTTTAGTCATGGGTTTGAAATGGGTAAACAGTGAGCAGGCAAACTGTGTGCTTTTCATATAAAACAAGCTTGTGATAGTTTATTTGCACCATTTGATATTTTAATATTTGGTATATAATCATCACTATATTGTAAATTTGCCACTAAAACAGCACCAACACCAACACATCAGTATCTACACAATCTACACATCAACATCAACATTACATCAGTATCTGTACGTCAACATCAACACGTCTACTGTATAAAAGCTGAACTCTGATTGGCTAATGGTTAAAGTATCCATTCAATAGACACATTTTATTCTCTACAGTCATTAAGATGAAGCAGAATAAACACAGAAATATCTTTATATCTTTAACCTGACCATTGTTTGCTTCTAAAAGTCAAAAGGCACAGGTTGATTACAGGCTAAAATTATTGATGCATGCACATTCATGATATATATCATATGTAATTAAACCTTAATGAAGTAGTAATGAGTAGACAGGTAATTAGTAGTTGGCTTCATTAATGAGTTACCAGCTATCGGCTTAACAAGAATATAATAAGGAACACTGAAAAGGCTGTGCAGAACATTATAATCTACAAGACGTACATTCACTGGAAAGTGCTCAATTTACTTTAATTACTGCTTAATTATTTAGTGAGTAGCCAGTTAATTACTAGATACTGGGTTGTTAAGGTTTAATAAGCGCATTACATGGCCCCCTACAAACGAAGTGTTACCAAAGTGTTTAAATTTGGTGCATTTGTTCTCCGAACTCTGAAGGCAAAAATCTTTCACACCATCTGGTTAAAAGGTAAGATTAGCACTTAACTTGTCATTATCATTTATCATTTATTAATTTATAATTATCATTTATCATTAAATGTAGAGTTTTGGCCATATGAGACTTCTGATTTTTAACAAAACAATAGAAAATCCATATTTGTTTGTGATTAAAAGTATAAAAATGACATGTAATCAAACAAATCTAATGTTTTCTGTTAGATGTTCATTATAGGTATAATTATTCAAAATTTCAGCACTTTAGACCAATCAGAACAAGCTCTATGAAGTTTTTCCTCATGACACAAAATGTAGCTGTTGGACATGAAGGAGTTTAAAAGATCACGACTCCTCTTTTCTACTCTGTCCTCTTTTCTCCATTTATTAATTCAGTTCTTAAACTCACATTATGATGAACTAAAATTTGAATCAAATTTAATACATTTTTATAATAAACAGTGGACCCACTTTATTCAGATAAATATGAACAGATCTACTTTTTACAGTAATATAACCTGTAAAGAAATTGGTTCTCACTATAAATGTGCGTCATTTGTGATAGAGAAAAAATAAGTGCATTGTAGGTCGTTAAAAGTGCTTCGGATAATTGAGGCCACTAAACTGAACCTGAGAGGCCAGTGAGTTTAAATATCAGCTCCAATAAATCAGCTTGACTGTGAACATTTCTCACACTGACCGTTTAAACTTTACACTTTTTCTGCAACATGTATAATTAAGCAGGATGTTTTAGATCAAATTCTCTCACCTGCCTTACAAATAAAATAGCATAGAAATATTCAGTTTTTAAATTACAGCTCTTTGCCTCTACCTGTGCTTCTTTCTGTGTTGCCTGTGTTACCTGTGTTACTATACTCGTGTAACTCTACCTGGGTTATCTGTACCTGAGTTAGTTCTACCTCAGTTAGCACTACATGACTCACCTAGGTTAGGTTTGTCTGGGTTAGCTCTTCCTGAATTAGTTTCACTTAGTTTAGATCTACCTTGGTTACTTTTACCTGAGCTACTCTACCTGGCTTAGCTGTACCTGGGTTAGCTCTGCCTGGGTTAGCTCCACCTCAGTTTGCACTACCTGGCTCACCTAGGTTAGGTTTGCCTGGGTTAGCTCTTTCTGCATTAGTTACTCTACCTGGTTTAGCTGTACCTGGCTTAGCTCTACCTGGGTTTGCTCTACCTGGGTTAGCACTACCTGTGTTAGCTCTACCTGTGTTAACTCTACATGAGTTACTCTACTTGGGTTGGCTTTACTTTGGTTAGCTCAAACTGATTTACTGTACCTGGGTTAGCTTTACCTGAATTACTGTCCCTGGGTTAGATCTACCTGGCTTAGCTCTCCTTGGATCAGCTTTCACTGAGTTAGCTCTATTTGGATTAGCTCTACCTAGGCTAGCACTACCCGAGTTACGCCAGCTGGTTAGCCCTGCTTGGGTTAGCTCTACCTGGGTTACTCTGCCTTAGGCTAGTGGTACCCAAGTTACTTTACCTGTGTTGTCTCTACGTGAGTTACTGTACCTAGGTTAGTTCTACCTGGGTTAGCTCTACCTGCTTAGCTCTACATGCATTAGGGTTCTGGTTAGGTGGTTAGGATTAGGTTAACAACTCTGCCTGGGCTAATCTACCAGTGCTGCTTTACCTGGGTTAGGAGGCGCTGTGTTCCGTCTCATCCATTCGTAGGGGTTCCTGCGGGGGGCGCTGGGGGAAAGCTGCCCCACTGTGGGGGGCAGAAGCCCAGGGGGCTGCACTGGGGAAAACTCAGGTGGGCTGAAAGCCAGGTGTCCAGGGTTCGGGGCAGGTGGGGCAGGTCCTGCACTGTAGGGCGCCCAGTCCTCTCGCGTGGGGTAACCTGGGCTCCAGGTACCAGTCTGAGCCTCACCACTCATACCTGGCACATGATGATGATGATGATGATGGTATCCGGTGAAGTCCGAGTACTGAGGCGCAGGCGGAGGTGGGGGAGGAGGAGGAGGAGCGGAAACAAAGGTCTGAGGGTTCAGGTTGAGGCCGGGGTGTCTCCCTGAGTTCGGGTACATGCTGCCGTCCTTCTCCAACAGGTAACTCACGTACATGGTGCCACCTGAGGGCTCCAGCTCATACTGTGCTTTTCTCCTCACCTGTTACCTCTCACCTGTACCTGTGTGCGTAGCTTCCTCCAGTGGACCTGAGTGAAGACTGCCAGCTAGAGCCTGACCTTCTCTGCTGATAGCACTGACGTAGACTTTATGACTTTATGACCCCACCTCCAACACCCCCCCCCACCCCACATCACCCCCACACACCTACACACCTGGGGGCAGTTTCCATTGAATACAGCCTCCTGCCCTCCAACCGAACCTACAGGAACTGAAGTATTAGTTGGTTTATTATAATTTCTGCTGGATGCGATGCATAAACACATGAATACGTGTTACATGTAAGTTATTTATTTAGTTCAAATAAAGTCTATTAAATATTTTCAAAGTACTTTTAGTATTAAATAGGAAAGTACTTTTTTCACTTCACTCAAGCTACTACTACTACTAATAATAATAATAATATACTTTTTTGACTTTAAAGTTAATAATTAATATTAATGGAAAGAAGTAGAAGGAGAACATGCATAAACATTTGGAATCATGTGTCTTATGAATTATTATTTTTCTTTAATTGCTGATAAAGTGCAGGTTGAAATATTATAAACCAAACATCAAATGTAAACTGATGGTTTATTCACAATTTAAAGTACTTTGAGAAGAATGAGAAGTTATGACCTGGTAAAAATCAGTCATTTTTATAAATATTGAGAGCTAACTATTTATTAATAGTAATTTCGTCTTGTGAAATTACTATTAATTGTGAGATTTGATCACCACTTTTTATTATGTAAAATTATTTCCATTTTTTTCAGTGTTGTTGTTTTAAACTGTTAATTGTCTCTTAATCATTATGATTCATGTTGTATTAATATTTTATGTGTTAACTGTGAAGCACGAATGAAAAAAACAAAAAGAGAGAGAATATTATATGTTGATGTTATTGTTTATTGTACTAAATAAAACTGTATTAGTGTAATTACATAAACACGTTATCTTTCTTAAACTAAAGTTATTGATTATCTAAAATAGCTCCTAATATAACTGTTTAAGAATTATTTACAGTTTATTCACAGTAAAAAAAATTGTAAAAATGGACTGTTATATTTATGAACTGATTATTAAACTGATATGGAAACAGAAAAGTGTGTTTAACTCTCTCTCTCTCTCACTCTCTCTCTCTCTCTCTCTCTCTCTCTCTCTCTCTCTCTCTCACTCTCTCTCTCTCTGTCTCTCTCAGTAGTATGAAGCCTTCAGTTATAGAGAAAATAATTTACAAATGTGTTAAAAACAATATATTGTATTTTTTAAATTGTGATTTTACACAACAAGAACAAGAACAAGAACAACAACAACAACAACAACAACAATAATAATAATAATAATAATAATAATACATTTTGGCAGATAACCTGAGAGTAAGAGATCCAGTGAAGTAAGTAGAGACATTCATACTATAAATAATCAAATAATTAAATAATCTAATAAAAACTGTTGAAGAAGTTAAAAGATAAACAGACTGCTTTATTATTATATTATATATCATATATATTATAATTATAGCATTATTATCCTAACCATGATCTTATCCTATCATCTATTGTCCATTATTATTTTAACATCATTAGTCCACTATAAATGATCATATCATCATTGGTGAATTGTTTTTAATTTTATTGTCTCTCACATTATTAATTGCTATTACAGTGTTATTAGTATGCTATGAATTGTCATTATTACACTATCCATAATGATTATATAGTCATTATTACACTATCCGTTATTATTATAACATCATTAGTACACTATCTACGATTGTAACAGCATTATCACGTTATAGCTTATAAAGGATAGATTAATGATAAAATCAAATGATCACTTACAAATATGACAATTACACTACATATCATTATTATACTATATATGTTATTATAACATTTTTTTACATGATCCTTTTTATTGTATGGTCATTATTACACTATTACTACACTGCTATTTTTGCACCTATTAATATATCATTATTATTATAGCAACAATTGTTGTCATCATTATTACACAATAAATTCTTCAACTTTATTTTAACATTGTATCATTACTGTATAAAGAGTATTCTAATGTAAATTATTAGTATATTTTAGTATACACTTTTACATAATAATTCTATATAATTATATGTAAGTAATAAAAAGTATTATTAGTATTAATATTAATCTTGCTCTATACCAATCAGCCACAATTGACAATTAACAGACCAGTTGGAGTCTTAAATTGTATGTTCTTTCTTTCTTTCAAATAATAATAATAATAATAATAATAATAATAATGAGAGTGATGATAATAATAATAATAATAATAATAATAATAATGAGAGTGATGATAATAATAATAATAATAATAATAATAATAATAATAATAATAATAATAATAATAAATCTTGCTCTTGTTCTTGTTATTTTTGATGTGTATTTTTAGAATTGTTGATCTAATAAAGTGGCCAGTGAGTGGAAGTACAAGGTGTTTCTATTAAAGTGGCCCGCGAGTGGAAGCACAAGGTAGGTGTTCCTTATAAAGTGGTCACTGAATAGAAGCACAGGGTAGTTGCTTCCAATAAAGTGGTCACTACATGGAAATACAAAGGTAGATGTACTTCAGTGTTAGAACTCACTGGGAGTTTTAAATGATGTATTTTCAGGACGTCACCATTAGAGGGCAACTCAATAACAGAGGTTTACTCTGATCTGCGGTATTATTATCATTTACCATTATACAGTTTTCTACTAACACACGCTTGGCAGAGTGTTCTCCTTAAAGTGTGTTTATTATTTTATATAAAATAATTTGATTATTAAAAGTTTCTTAAAAATTAATAAATGGGTAAAAATATATGTAAAATAAATGAGTTCATGCAACCACTAGATTAGATGAGACTGCTGTAACATGATACTGGATGGACACCCTGCTGTCTCTCTAAATTGGCTCCATGGCCTTTTAAAAGGGTTAAAGGCAAGGCAGGTTTATTTATATAGCATCTTTCATTCAAAGTGCTTCACAAATGAGAAAAGGTCAATGAAAGGTTTTTAAAAAAGGTCAATGAAAATAGAAATTAAAAATGTGATTAAAACATGATTAAAACATTAGATTTAAAAGGGAAAATTATTAAATTAAAAATCAAAGTAGAAATTAATTTAGAATAGTTAAAAATGTAATTAAATTAAAACAAAAAGTTAATTTAAGATTAAAAAAAGTGCTGTTAGAGAGCAAAAGAAGCTAGAAATGCTAACAGTGTTTAAATTGCATTGTGTCCAGTGTCGGGGCTCTGTTGCTCTCTTTCAACTTAAGAGCATTTAAGAGCAGCATAGTAGCTAAATGCTGCTTCTCCATGTCTAAAGCTCTTAAGAGCCGAGTTTCAGCATATATTTCTGATCTGTTCAAGCATTATAGCCACTTATATCCTGAATCTCCTTGAATCTCTGCAATTTATTTGTTCAGGTTGGGAGGAATGTCTGATTTGAACAACTGTGAACTGTGTTGAATAGATTGTGTTTTGTGCCTTTTTACCAGACTTTTATTACTATTACAGCTCACCCCTCTGTTTGTTACAGTTAACTCCACCTACAGGTTAAGTCCAAGTCACAGTTGGACTCATGCCACTTTCAGCTGAAGTGCTCATAAAAAGCAGGAACTGGAAACAAAGATTATGTTTTGATTTGTAGCAGATGTGTTCAGACTGTTTATTATTAATCTTGTTCAAATACTTTTAAAATTATTAGACAAAAAGAAATGCGTTAGTGCCCCGTTATCACTTCCCAGCCTTAAGCATGAAGATAAAATAACACAAAAAAAAGTTTATTTGAAGATGCCTAATAAAATGGCAAAAACAGAGCAGAAACTTCACCTTTCACCTGCCTTTTTGTCTATTAATATAACTAAAGACATAAAACTGTTCAAACATCATTTATATGTCAGCAGATGTATCACAGCTCTTTTTGTTTAAAACTGCAAACAGGACTCTGGTAAGTCAAAACTGAACAGTTTTGCCAGCACTCAGTTTATGTACTTAGTATAACTGTTGAATATTTGAAGTTTTAACTGTAGTTTAACCTTCTGGGGTCCACAAACTTGCCCATGCATCAAATTCAACATTTCTATATCTGTTTCTGTATCTTTGTGATAATACAGCACAGAAATATGGTTCAGACATTTCCTGAGTCTGTAGAGTCGCCCTTTCCATTCCATCTTATCACGAGATCATACGAGACTCACATCCGGAGTTATGAGCCTGTGAAGAGGGGCTGAGATACACATCATCTGCCTCTCACCGTGTGGAACTGTCCGTCTACATTCTGTGTGAAACTGAGGTGAAAATCCTAGTGGAGTCTCTGCGGTGTATGTCCGAGTTGACTTTTGAGTCTCTGAGGTTCAAGTCCGAGTTGAGTCTCAAGTCTCTGAGGTGTGAGTCTGAGTCGACTCTCGAGTCGCTGAGATTCAAGTCCGAGTCGAGTCTCAAGTTGCTGAGGTGAGAGTCCGAGTCAAGATTCGAGTCGCTGAGGTTTGAGTCAGAGTTCTGTCTTGAGTCTCTGAGGTGAGAGTCCAAGTTAACTCTGGAATGTCTAAGGTGAGAGTCCGAGTCGAGACTAAAGTCTCTGAGGTGACTGAGCTGAGTTTCTGAAGTGATAGTCTGAATTGAGCCTCAAGTCTCTGAGGTTCTAGTCAGGTCGATGCATATCATCTGCCTCTCACCGTGTGGAACTGGTGGATTGGTGTGTCCGTCTACATTCTGTGTGAAACTGACCCATAAACACTCAGGAAACCACTAAGGACTGACCATCACGCCGGAAACCCTTCATTCTTCATTCAGTCCACATCAGAGACTCATGTGAAACGGCGTGCAGAGAGTTTACAGCTGCTGAAGCTGCTGCAGCGGTTTTGGAAAGTAGTGATGAAGATAACGGAGCATTTAGACATGAAACATATGAGGATCATGATATATGAAGAGCCTTTACAGGTGAATTTAGGAAGATATGGACAAATGGAGAGAATGACCCCAGACCCCCGAGGGTTAAATGTTGAGTATGAAGTTGTGTGAAAGACTCTGAAGAACTGAA